GATCATACTACAAGGAATGAGAGGGTCACATCACACCAGGGACCCATCCAGTGTATTGCAATAAGAACCCAGCTGAACAATGAAGTCTCAACACCCTGTCCTCAAACACAAGAAAAATGATCATGCTCGCTCAGAAGTATCCTTTGACATCTAATAATCATAAGCCACGGCTCCCTTCTCAATTATCCCTTTCAACATTGAGCACCAGGTCAACTCCCGACCTAATAGTTGAACCTCCAAAGGCTACCTATTGCATAACCCAAAACGTCTCACTAACTTCCTTCCCACAATAACTATCCCGGCCCAGTGTGATACACAAGTCACGAAGTTCGCTTTACCCCAAGCGAATATTACAACCCCAAATGAAATCATCTCACCCTTGACCTATGTCGTCTACTACTCATTAGTTTCACACGTCTCGCGGTCCTTCCTATACAAACTAACTGGCCCACTCAGGTCTAAGACATTATACGACACACGATACCCCTCAAAATGGAACCCACCTCTAAATCTGGAATCTCGTTTCGCCTTCTCAATACACCACTAGAGCTAAGTCAAACTCGAGAGTCTGGCCCAACACAGAATTGGAACCAATCGACCTAATAAATCACTCAACCTATAATCCATGACCCACAACTCACGCATACATCACTTCTTCAATTCCTTCTGATTGAGATAACCACACCTTAACTCAGAATACAATGATTCCCAAACATTAGGGAGATCCTAGGCTCATCCCTAGTCCGACCACCACGATTCTTTATGGAGGACTTGACCCGATGCACAACAATGCGTACTAGATCCTTTAGTCCTTTACTTGACTCACATAATTACGTGAACAAGGAATTAGTCTTAATTTCCCAAATACGGAGGTTCTCATTCATCATACAATACGAGTTGCATGATTCCAAGTTTCTGTCCAGTTGAAACTTGGGGTTATGAGAATCATTCCTTATTTGGTAAATTTTTTTAATACTACCACAAATAACATAACTAAGAATCACATCCATTTTCAATATTTCTAATAATAGAAACATACAAACATCAATTTTCACAAAAGTCATTGCAAAGATATATATATATATATATATATATATATATATATATATATATATATATATATATATATATATATATATAAAACACAAAAATCAAAACTTATTTTATTTATAAAAACGTGGAAAATTTTGTCCTTTGAACGCGATTACAAATGAAAACCAAGTTACTAAATGTTCCTAAACAATCTATCATAAATCCTATGCAGCAGCTCAAAAATCCGATCATCGAACCATGCGATCGAAATCCATCTCTTCGCGATCAAACTCAGCTCACTCTTCCTTTATGTTTCCTTGCTTTTCTTTGATCCTACAAAACATCAAAATGTAATATTATCGCATCATGTATTAACAATCTACAAATAGGAACATAATAGAGTTAGATAGTGGACTTACCTGAAACAGAGTCATACATCTTGACTTTTTCATCCTTGTGATCTTTCAGGTAAATATGGCAGCTTCGCATCCAATGCTCCTTTTTTGGCAGTAGAAACAAATGGACTCTTTTGGAACAACACATGGGACAATCTCAGATTCAGCCTTTCTCTTTTCCATCCGGTCAAATGGTTTGATCTTGGCCGATCCCTTTCCATTGGGATGAGAAGACTTTTCTGGACTTCAAATGTTGCCATTGTCAATATCCATGGAAGTTTGGGAGGTTGATCTACCAGTCAAATTTGCTTTACCAGTGCGCCAAATCATTGTTGATTTAGTAGCAATAATAGGTTAGATCAATGTCGTTCATGTTGTGGTCCATCATATAGTAATCTTTATTGAACTCACTATATGATTTGGGAAGTGACTGAAGAACCAAGTCAATAGCCAACTTCCTTGAGACATCGACACCCAACATTCCCAACCTGTAAATATGTAACTTCATCTCCAATATGTGATCTGATATAGACTTTCCATCTTCGTGTTTGCTTGCCAATAGGGCTTGAGTAACCTTAAACTTTTCAAGTCAACGAACACGTGGGTCAGGGAGATTTATTGAAGGGGGTGGAGGAAGTGAAGCATGATTTCCATTTCCACAATCCAATCGTCGAATATCATCTTCGCGTGGAAAGCTTTTCCAAAGGATTCAAGAAGACCATATTTGTTAGAATTTGAAATGTACAAAACAGAGCAATTTAAGTTAGTTGATTTAACTCCTTAATATAACACCCAAGTGAAATATTAACGCTAAGACCCAACATAATATTCTACAATTCGGAAGAGGGATGCCGTAATCCAATTGCAAAATATTTGAACGTAGGTAAATGACGATTTACCAATTTTCACCATAAAAAACGAAATGAAAAATTAGGTTTTAAATGAATTGAATTTCATAGATATTTTAAGATTCATTGAAATTTTCAATGGCATGTTTAATCTCGATTATGCCCTTCAAGTTTGTGACTGAGATACCGAGAATCACAAACAAGGTGTGAATAACCATGCAAAATTAGCTTGGTACTCTCAAAGACGTTTATCACCTAATCAATGTGCCGGTTAACCATACACGCTCCATTGATCTATGATAATCTATGTGCTACCCAGTGCCATCCTTCATCAGTCCCATATTAGTGTGCCGGTTAACCACACACAATTCACTAACGACCAACAAGGTGCAATGTGCAATTTCTTGGATTAGCACCAAATTCACATTTTTCCTAAAGTAACTAAGATTTGGGGATTTATAAAAGTGTTTAGTTACTTCGTGTTTCATTATACTTATAATGGAAGTTTGTGTCCTATCCTACCCTCCACTAGTCAAGGGTACGGTGGGTAAGAGTGGATACACAGTGATGGTCCTTTTACAGGCCGCTTCCTTAAACACCCCTTATAGACCAACTTCGTGAATGGGGCCTACTAACGGTAAGACTGACATTTACTTATACATATATAATATATTAGACTTTTAATTTTATATAGTATAAGGGTGTATTTGATAATTTTAAAATACTAAGTGGTTTAATCTGTTAATAAATTATACCTTTAATTTGATTATACTTAAACCATATTATTATGGATTTATTAATTCTCTCTTTTAATTAAACACTTAATTAATTTAATAAAATCCATAAGGGCGTAATTTGAACTTTTCAAAATATTAGGGTTTAGAATTTAATATTTCAAAATTAAGATATTTCAATTAAATTTTAAATTCCAAAACTTGAGGACAAACCTTGAAACTTTTAAAAATATTAGGGTATAACTATTTAAATTTCAAAACTAAAACTTTTACTTTCAATTTAAACTATAAAACCTGAAAGATGTAATTTAAACTTTTTTCAAAATTACTAGGTTATATATTTGAATCAAAATAATCCTATATTATCCATATTTAACTAAATCCACCAAACCTAATTATTAATTGGGTGTCGTTTTGATGTTGACAGTTCAGGAACCTGTCAACCAGCAGCTAGAGTTTTATCTGTGGGACTTTAGCAGTGTGAGGTGAGTCTCCTCACCATACTAATGGGTCTAAGGCACCAGGGCCAGCCCATTTAGTTGGTTGTAGTGTTTATTGTGGATTCACTACTGATTTGTTTGGTATACATGTATATATAGTATGCTTGTGGTCTTTACGATACTTGCATGGAAGACCATTGGGGGAGCCCATGGCGTTTGGATGTAAGACCATGTGGGGGAGCCCATGGCTTTTCAAGTAAAGAACATGGAGGGAGCCCATGGTACTTGGATGTAAGACCATGTGGAGGAGCCCATGGCTTTTCAGGTAAAGACCATAGGAGAGCCCATGACACTTATGTGTAAGACCATGTGGGGGAGCCCATGGCTTTCCAGCTAAAGACCATGGGGAGCCATGGCACTTAAGTGTAAGACCATGTGGGGGAGCCCATGGCATCCTAGAGTAAGACCTTGGGAGGAGCTCACGGCATCGTTATATGTTTATATGCATGGCATATCTGATTGTTATGGTTTATGTAACTTCTATAGCTAATACAGATTATGTGATTATGTGGATTATGTGGGTATGCTCTGGGGAACTTACTAAGCTCCGTGCTTACAGTTTTGTTTATGGTTGCAGGTATCATCGGTTTGGAAAGGAAGGGCCCGACTTGATCACAGTGCACACTCCTGTGTTTCCGCAATATATGATTTTGGGACGAACTCTGATGAATGTTTTTTAATTAATCATGTTTTTGGAATTTTTAAATTTAAACATATATGTGCTTGTGACTGTATTGAAAAATGAAATTTTTACCCGTGATTTTTGGGTCGTTACAGGCAGAGCCCCTTGCTGGGGTCCCGATCTTTACATATAGGAACATAGTGAGAAATTCCAATTCTTGAGGGTAATTGTGGTAAAACTAATAAAAACATCTCTTACTTAATAATTTATTTAAAATAATTGATTGTTAATTTTGAGTTTTTACTATAAAAGTTTAATTAATTTTATAACCGTAGTTCTCACGGGTTATAAACTAATATATATATATATATATATATATATATATATATATATATATATATATATATATATATATATATATATAGAGAGAGAGAGAGAGAGAGAGTTAGGTTCATGTGTCGATCCCCATCTATTGTATGGATCCTAACTTTCTCTCTCTCTCTCTCTCTCTCTCTCTCTCTCTCTCTCTATATATATATATATATATATATATAGAGAGAGAGAGAGAGAGAGAAAAGAGTTAAGTTCATATGTGGATCCACGTCTATTGTGTGGATGTAGGGACCAATTAAATTTTAAAAGAAAATTAAATTATTAATAAATAACATAATTGTATAAATGTAATCTTAGTTATAATATATGGTAAAAATACAAAATCAATTAATATCCTTTAAATTAAAAATATTAGTTATACCAGAGCCTCCTCTCAATTTTAATAAATTTAAGTTTTTTAAATTGTACACTCTATCCCAGTGTTACATTTGGCAATGAAAATGAACATAATGAATATGATTGGTGGGAGTTAAAAGAAAGAAAGTGACATCTTTTATTCAAGTGTAAAAGTAAACAGGATCAAGAGCAAAAATCAGAATTTACACGAGAAGACACAATTCTCATGTCTCTCTACTCTGCAGAACAAAAGTTGCAAAAGAAAGCCATAAATTGAATAAATAAAAAAAAACATGAACATCTTGAGCAGCAATGCAAGAAAACAGAGGCATCAAATCCCTCCGGCATTAGGCATCAGTTTGGGTTTGTGGTTTTATGGTGGTAGGCTTGACTACAATGCAGGTGATATTATCACAACTGCCACGGGTAAAAGCAGCCTCGGTCAGCTTTTGAGCTGCTGCCTCTGGTTCTTCTTCAGTCTGTGCAAGTGACACAGCATCCTGATGATGCAAAATTTCACAATCAAGCTTACCTCTTCAACAAACATTATACATATATATATATACATATATATATATATAGTATGTTCTATACTACCTCATTGGGTACAACGTCCCAGAGACCATCACTTGCAAGAACCAGCAGTTCAAATGCTTCATTCAGCTCTTGTTCCTGCAAAAGAGAAAATGTAGGTAAGTTTAACAGAGAATCTAATTAATAATATTAAGGTAACTAACAGGAAATGGCAACCTGGATTTCAGGTTCAGCCACCACATATTGCTTCAGCATACGGTTTCCAAATGCACGAGACATTGCCAATACGCCTCCAACCCTCCATGTGCCTTGAACAAAAAGACAAAATTTTGAATATTAGATATCAAAACATGAATTAACTACTATTATTAATTAAGTTATCCATTCCAGTCACCACTTCACCTGCCCACATCACAACCCCACCAGCGCTTTCAATTCGCATCCGCTCATCACTTCTGTTTGGTTTGTGATCCTCGGAGAGGGCGATCGCTGCCATTATCAACAACCCAAACGGGTTTAGTTAACCTCAAACAACAATCTTGCCACTGTTTGATAGGAAGTTTTACCTTTGCCCTCATTGGATATTACAGTCCGGGAATCTCCAACATTTGCAACATACAGATAATTTCCTACCAAAACTGCTGTCGAAGCAGTAGAACCATCATCGCGAAAATTATCCTTTTCGGACTCCAAAAAGTCTTTGTCGGTTTGCTGATAAGTCTCACCTGTCAAGTTATTCAAATTCATGGATTCAAAATTCATGTTGGATAAAAAGAGACATACTGTATCTGTATGTGATAACAAGTAAACTCACTAATAGCCACTTTTGTGTTTGTTATAAACTCTGGATGCTTCATGAGGTTCTTAAACAGATTTTCCTTTAAATATTGAGATGCACGCGAACCACCATGACCTACAAATCCATCAAATATTCATTCGTTTTAAAATTTAAATCTGCAAATCGCTACTGAATAAATGTTAAAAATTAGCTGATGGGAAAGAATATAACCGTCAAATATCCCGAAGAGGCAGACCATTTTCCCATCGATGTTGCAAGTCTTGATGTCATAAAAATCCTCCATGCTAGGTCTTTTACCTCTGAAACTTGAATAACCGCAGCTCAATTTTCCATCTTCACTGCCAATATGAACACAATACTTGCTTTAATACATAATGACATGTTTGTATAAATATAGATATCTCTCATGTGGTTTGTTATAGGTTAATACTGTAGAACAGCATTCTTAGAAAACAATAAATAAGAGAATCAATTACCTCTTCCAGCCTCCACTCGTATATGAACCATCACTATCCTTCTCTGTCAAAGCATCAGCAATCAAACCCCGACTCCCGGTTGCACCTGCAGCCATCATCCTTTTCCCAGTTGTCAACCGCTTGTGATCAGAAGAAAATGTTACTATAGGAATGGTCTTCAGACTTCGCTTCAATTTTGCAAACTGCAACAACCCTTCCACAGGTTTCCCAATATGCCCTCCTTGCAGAATCAATGTCCTCAGGTAACTGCTGCATATCATCTAAGAATCCACAACCTGGCTTGGCCCTGTATGCCAAACCCTTACCTTGAGTTACCAACAAATTTCCTGCTAATGTCACAGATTTCATCATGGGGCGTAATATGTATACCAACATACATACGAACTCATATATTTACGCTTTTGAATAGCAATATATATACCAATGTGTTGTATTATGATTGGCTTCGTTCATGTTATGTGGGATGATGTAGGTGCATATAGACATTTACAAACAAAAATGTCTCAATACCAGCTTCCTGTTCTCCATCAAACATGCTTTAGAGTAGACACATAGATTACAAACCATCAACCATGTTACGTATTCGGTAGCAACGTTCTTAAAGAACCAATCTCTCCAAACTAAAGTATTTATTCATATATATAAGATGATTTTAAAAATTATAAATCATAAATGGACAAATTTGGAGGCGTGAGAATAATTTACTGGAAACTAGATGCAATCATAATGCTCATATATATAATAATAAATTCGAGTGAAATGGAATCAATTGCTATGAATTTCAATACCAAAATCCTCAATTTCAATCCCTAACGTGATGATTATAAACATGAAAACAAACAAAGAGGAAATCTTACTTTTAGATTGATCGGATTTCAACGAGCATAACAGATCAATAAGCACCAATCTTTGCAAAAAGAATCAACCAATCGATGATTATCCAAGAATATGTTGGTATACAGATGCGTCCCCTCATCAACAATCTCTTATAAAATTTTCCACAAAAATAAAAATAAAAAATAATTATATAGAAACCTGGAATCCTCAATAAAAAAGAAGAAGAGAGGGAGACTAATTCCAAATGGTGGAATCGGAAACACTACAAATTAAGCGGTAATTCAATGGCATTTGTTCCAAGAAAATTGAAGGTGAATAATCCTAGAAGAGTTTTCTTACAAAAATAAAAATAAAACGTGGCTGTGGGATTAAACCAAGAGAATTGTAACCGTGTGTCAAAGTATTTTTGTAGAAAGGCCAAAAGGGACTCAAAACAAAACTCAAACAAAATAAACAAATTAGTGGTAAGTCCCCCACCCATAGTCTCTATAATATTACAAAAAAAAACGTGTCACCTCACCAAATTTCTCTTTGTTTTATTGGATCGATATCGACTTTAGTTTAGCAAAGGAAAACGGAGAGTTGCGAAACTAGAGGCGACTGATTCAAGAATCAGAAGAGAAGATCAATACAAAAATTGATGTGCACGTGCGACTGGTTGTATGAGAAAAAAGCTTTGTTATGGCCTTGCCATTACCTGCTGTCTCACCTCTAAAATGCGCCTTCACAAACATGTATATAAAATTATAAAACATTAAATCCGAGATATACCGAAAGTTACAAACATGTATATAAAATTATAAAACATTAAATCCTGAGATACACCGAAAGTTACCGGACCTGAGAACTAGACACTAATGCGAGCATGGTGTGGTTTTTGGCCAAAACGAACACAAACCGTAAATGTTGTTTTGATAATAACATAAATCGAGCAGTGTGTTCCTTCAGTTTTTGATGAGGTGTGGTATTTACGGTTGAGGTTCGGTTTAAACTGCATAACTTGTGTTTTTTTGACACGGTTTTAAACCGCATAAGGCTTTCTGGTATTCTCATAACGAGCCATCTCGTGGTATACGTGGACCACAACCAAGACCGTGCACACCATCCTGGCCGATCGTGGTCGATCGTGGTCATGGTTGGGCGTTGTGTGTTCCACGAAATCAAACAGAAAAATATATTGGTTGATGTTTGCAACAGCTAGTTTCTTTTGGTATTTATAACTTTGTTATAAACAACGTACATGAAGGCGACCCGTTTGCTGTGGCAATAAACCAATATGAAGACACGAAACACACATCGTTTAAATACGTCAAAGCTTGGCGAAAATTAAGAGAGTGCCCAAATTTTAGTGAGTAAAAATAATGTTTAAAAAGTAGTTTTAAGTTGTTTGTGGTTGCATTTTTAAGAGCATATGGTATCGGCAACTTGAAGTGGTGTTATGAAAAGAAGCAACAAGAAGAGGGGGTGGTGTTCATGGTGTTATAACACCATGTTAAGAGGAGAAAGATAAAGAGAGAGAATTTGAGCAACCAATAGAAAATCACGTTGCATCTAGTCATGGTCACAACAAGAAGCAACACAACTAGATACAACAAGAAGGGGGTTGTGTTGATGCTTCTTAATAACATTGATGATGCCCCACCTCAGCAACAACAAGATGCAACATGACCCATACCATATGCTCTAAGGTTTTTTATTGTTTTTTTTTTAAGTTGTTTGTTTTAAATTAATATAATCTTGTTTCATTATATAAAAAACTAGTTTAATAAAAAAAAAATATGTTTTATTGTGTTTTTGAATTAAATTTAATTTTAAAAAAATGTGTTATTGTGTTTTAATGTATTTTTGAATTAAATTTAAATTTAAAAAATGAGATAGAATGGTAAGTTAGTGGTAGGTATCCCATGTTAGTGGTAGGAGAATGTGTGAGACGTGGCCTCCTCTGATTGGGAGAATTATGCCCACGTTAACTAACTGCCTGGTGACGTCAGTTTTCGGCATCACTGAAGCTTCTTATCACGTCCTAATTGGCCATGAGTGAATGAGAAGATTATGAGGAATATTATTTCCTTGTGATGGGGAACGAACTGCCAATCCGGTGTTCAATTACCTAGGCCAAGGTCGGGCCCTAGCTAAGGTTCTGCGAGATAACGTCTCGTTTGTACGTCCCATCACATTTAACGTGGCCGTTTGGGGTAACGTTAGCAGGTACCCCCTAGCAAGAAACTCAGATTACGTTTCTTACAAAGAGGGGACTCGATGCTAGCCGTCTCCGTTCGAACACCGGAAGAGTCCTCCAAGAAAGCAAAATGCCTCTTGACACGGCGAAGACTCCTCGGGGACCCAGAAGGGGCGGGATCCTTCTGAGAAGCATCATTGACAACAATGTCCTGTAGATCTGAATCCTCATCGGCACTTTCCGAACCAACAGTAGCGTCGATTCCTCAACCAGAAACGGGGGGGGGGGGGGAGGGAGGAGGGAGAGAGAGAGAGAGAGAGAGAGAGAGAGAGAGAGAGAGAGAGAGAGAGAATCTCTACAAGGTCAACGTCACGACACTCAAGATCATCGTTGAATAAACCTTGAAGAGCTCTCTCCAAGGAAATAACCTCCTCCACACCTGGCAACAAAAGAAAGACAACGACGGTTAACCAAAATGTCGATTTAAATGTGTTTTGCCAAATAAAAAGGGGGAAAGGGGGCAAGACAAAACAGAAGGAGAAACACAATACCCTCTTTCTCGATGAAAAACTCGGGCATCTTTCGGCGAGTCCTCCAAGTGGCGCTCATCCCTCCAGCGGCCAAGAAGCAGTCAAGCCAATCCTCACCATTGATGTTGATCTTCTTTAGGACATCAGCCAGTTCTTTGTCAGCACCAAAGAGTGTTGGAGCACGGTCGACGTACACCTTAGCCCTTGGGGAACTGAGCACCACAAGGTCGTTGTTCACCCATAGAAACTTCTCTTTCCAGTTCTTCTTGGACTTTTTATCGTGGATAAGGGTAGGGACTCCCCGCTGACAAGAAAGGGTCCGAGTCCCTGACTAAGTGGAAGCATTGAAGAAGTACTTGAATGCCGGAACAGTTGGCAGTCAGCCTAGGGCACGGCAGAGGATTTCAAAACCCATTATCTTGTTTATAGCAATCGGGGTCAGCTCCCTTACGAAAAACCCATACTCACGGATAATCAGATTGAAGAAGTCTGTAGTAGGCAAACACAGACCCGCTTCGAATAGGGCGATCAGAATGCCGACCTTGCCATCAGGAGGACTGTAAAGCGACACATCTGGAATAGGAAGTTGAACACCGTGTTCGGGAACAAACCCAAATCAAAATTGAAAAGATTCCCATTCTTCGGTAGTAAGATCCCTTCCCAAGGAATGAGCGGTAGCCATGGAAGAATATGAAGACAATATCGAAAAGGTTTCTTTAGGGCAAGAAGGCAAAGAGAGAAAAGTAGAAAGTAAGGAGGAAACGCCATGAGAACAGAGGTTTAAATGCCACTAAAGGGGGCAGCGAACTGTTTTCATGATGAAACTGCCGAAGAACGACGATTTCGCTCTGCCAACTACATAAGCTATCAGTAGCAGCCCTCCACGTGTCTGTGAGTAGACTAGAACGACTCTGTTATGTCATTAACGCAGAAGCCTACTGGTCTAAGGGACTTGTTAACATTACCATGAACGGCAACGTTAAATGTAACGGAAAGCATAAACGAGACGTTATCACGCCAGAACCTTGGCCAAGACCCGACCTTGGCTTAAGTAATCCAACACCTGGGTGGCGGTTCGCTTCCCTTCACGAAGAAAGAATATTCCTCATGATCTTCTCATTCACTCACGACCAATCAGGACGTGATAAAAAGTTTAGGTGACGCCCAGAACTAACATCACCAGGAAGTTAGTTAACGTGGGCATAATTCTCCCAGTTAAAGGAGGCCACGTCTCACACTCATTAGGCAGGGTCCCTACGATCCATTAGTAACAGGTATAAAATGTTGATTTATGTTTAATTTGCATTTTGTATGGTGTTTGTATATATTTTTTATAATTAATCAAGAAGTTAGTTCGTTATTTTATAAGCAGAAACATTGAATTCAATAAAAAATTATACATAATAGTAAAATGGTCATTTTTATAATTCAGCACAGCAATTAAGAGGTTCCAATCAAATAGCATGTTAAAAATTCAGATCTTAAAAGTTTAGATCCTCTTAGAAATTCATCTCTTAAAAATTCAGATCTTACCAAACAACCCCTTAGATTGAAGGTTTTAAAATATATAAAACCACATAAAATGACATTTGTTTAAATAAAAGATAAATATGTAAGTTATACTATGTTATAATTCATGTAATACCTGGTTGATAAATTAAAATAACATAGATAGTAATAGCCCTGTCGAAAATACCTGCTACCCGAATTACTCGCCCGATTTTTTCGGGTATCGGGTAAAAAATTTCGGGTAATCGGGTAACCCGATTTTTTCGGGTCGGGTAAATGGTACATTTTTTAGGTTTCGGGTATACCCGAATTATTTTAAAAATTCTTTTTTTTTTGTAAAACATGAATCTCTTTATTATGACAATATGACACTAACAATATTAAAAGTAATTGTTTATATATCATCATGTTGTATAAAACTTAACTGTTTTCTATATTATAATTTTTATTGCAACTAATAAACTCATTATCTTGACAAAACTTAAGAACGTGGCAAAACTAATGGTTACAATTATCTTAAACATTTTAACTTTCAAATTAAAATCTTTAAGTGTTTTTTTTTAAACATTTTACTAGATTAAATTAAGTTTTTAAAAAATTACTTGATATCTCAAGTATTATTGACTAAAAAAGCTCAATGTTCAAAGTTTGAATAACTTCATTTATGTCTCGTTTGTTTATATAAACAAGACTAATAAAGCACGGCGTATTTATTTCATTAAATTTATTTTCAGGTAAAACTTAAAAACAGATTTTATATATTTCTGGTAATACCTGAATTACCCAAACCCGACCCGATACCCGAATTACCCGAATTTAATTTGGGTCGAGTAACGGGTATTTTTTTAACATGAAAAACTCAAATTATCCGACCTGTATTACCGAAAAAATTACCCGATTAACAACCCTAAATAATAATTGCAACAAAATAAATGGAATAGGTGATTATTTATAGTTGATTATTTTATAGTAATTGATTACCAAACATTTTGAATTTCAAAATCTCTATTAATAATCTCTATTAATAATGTTAATTTTAAGGGACTTAGAATATGATTTAAATTTAAATGTAAAATCATTATTAAAAAAAAAAAAAAAAAAAAAAAAAAAAAAACATGCATCAGTTTTCAAGAATAGGAGAAAAGAAATTAAGATATTTTTTTTAAAAATGACAAATAGCAAGTTTAAGATTCGTTTATAAGAAGATAGATTTTTAATATGATAAAATAAAATTGTTATATTATGTAAGTTTTTTCTGAAACGTTACTTCGATTAACTTTTCGAATAGGAGTAATTTATGTTTTTATTTGACCATCAAAACCGGGTGATGTCCGTTTAGCATGTTTTGATGTGTATTTATATTTTGTTTTAGAAGTAAACATATTTAATATATAAAATCAAAAACAGCATGACCCAACCCACAACTCCCATTATGATATGGATTGGATTAGAATTTTGTGTTTTCACTATTACCCTTCCTGTGCATCGGCAAAATCGAAGATGATTATGGATTGGATTAAAATTTTGTGTTGAAATTACCAAACATTAAAAAGTTTGATGGAAGCCACACCAATGCCATTGTGGATACCACACAGGCATCAAAACCTTTCCTGGTCTCGATGGTCAAATGAAAACGAAAATTACAAGATAACACAAATACAACTTACATAACTTAATGAGCAAATTGGTCATTATTAGTTGCCTAAATATTACATGTGCCTTTCTTAATATATTTATTGTGTATTGATAAAAAAAAAAATAATAATAATAAAAAAAGTTACAATACTAATAAAACACAAATAAATAAAAGGAAGCTACTTCTTGTATTCAGACCTTACTGAAGTAATGCCTCCAAAGTCGAGACCTTTTTCCCAAGGAACTTTTAGTAAATGGTCATATTCAAGGAGCTTTAATCTTAGAATCTATTATCCTCTCAAACTATAGAAACTAATATACAGTAAGTGGAGGAAAAAAAAGTAACTAGACAGGAATTTTTTTACAAAGTAGAGAGTTCTTCAACTTTGTACTAAACAAGAATAAATGAAGAATTCTACAAAGTAACTAGGGTTAGCCTGATTTAGGGAGGAATCGATCAAAAGGACACCAAATGCTTTTAGAAAATGTGAGCCCAGCCCCCACATAACTTCTAGAGAGATCATGCATGCAAATGCAATGAGCTAAACTCTGTTTTTTTTTTTTTTTAAATATATAACATTACTAAAGCAAAAAATAGAATACAATTTTTTTATACCACTGCTGATGACTATCCTATTAGTCTGTCTGTCCATTTTGTTGATTTATTCTCTCTCTCTCTCTCTCTCTCTCTCTCTTGGGATTGATAATGGCGATTAGGTTGTTGTTTGAATAAGGTCCAATGGGGTGGCTGCAGGATCCAGCTCCAGGTAGCCTTTTGGAGAATTAAAAGCTTCTTTACCTGTCAGCAAATACTTTGGGACTTGATGGGAGAACCGAAACATTTCTTCTTTTGGTATCTTCTTAACCTGACTACTGTCTGAATGTGGACAGAAAACCGTCCTAAATCCAGTCAGCTTCACAAGAGGTCTGACAGAGACCCCACCTTCTTCTTCTTCTTCTTCTTCTTCTTCTTGGTTATAGTCACCAACTACTTCCACCATGTCATACTGGTGAATCACATGATCTGGAACGCTTTCGTTCCAATCACTGGACCAGTTTCTGTAGAGGGCCCACACATCCCCCTTTTTAGGGTGTATAACAACAGACCCTCGTGGCGTTTTCGTAAATTTAACCTTCTGAGAGAATGAATTTAAAGATGTATTTATCTGAAACTTTCCGACCCGAAACTCCCCGCATGTCTTCCTGAAACCCGAACCTATCCATTCCATTTTTCCAAATTCAGCGGTTGTTTTTGAGTTGAGCCAACTGATTTTCATCTGAAGTGGTTTCCTTGAGATCACTTTATGAATCAATGCATAGAAGCGAGGCATGCCATCATCATCATCATACGCAGACCACACCTGGTAGTCTTGAAATGAATTTTCGGTTCGATCCGAATCAAAATTGTGAAAGTCAGGATCAGGAACACTCATTGCAGGCTCGTGTTGTTCTTCTTCTTGCATAATATCATCCATGGACATGGTTTTATGTGTACTGCAGTTAACATTATTTGCAGGAACTTTTGTGGTTTCTTTCCTCGCCTCTGAAAGCCATCTGCGAATCTCCTTTTGGGCTTTCTTCATTAGCATGTTTCGAGTTTCAACTGCAGTCAACTCTCTGGTGCTATTCAGATTCCAAATTTTATATGCCACATCAGTCTCAAAACCATTTCTTCTTATCCCAGTCCCAGATGTGTTTCTTGAGGGCATTTGATACGTGGTGTTAAAAGAAAAAGGCTGCTGCTTGATGTCACTGTCATCTGCTTTTCTATTTTGTGAGTGGTTTCCCATGGACAACTCTTCACGCTCTCGTTTCAACCTCTCATTCACCCGCTGGATAACATTTGCTGCTTTTGATGCAATGGAAGGGTCTGTGTTGCAGAAGCTATCTGTGTTGTTTGATGAATGATACTGCTTCATTGAATCCTGATGCTGTTGGTATGCAACCGATTTCTTAAAATTAACAGGTGGTGCACTCTCTTTAGCCAAAAAAGGCTCCTGACAATTGGGACATAGGAGGGTTTGATTCAGGTATATTTTAAGGTATTCATATTGCATCCTGCATCCATGGCAAACAGTCCAAAAAGTAGTACTGGTGGAGCTGTGGGACTTTTGTACTTTTGAAGCTGCACGTTTTGCAAAACTGTTTACACCAACACCAGGGGATGCGGATGGAACTTTCCTCCTCTGGTTATAGGTTGATCTTTTAGCCTTGTCAGACAACAAACTCCATGCTTCAGAAATAAGTTTAAATGCTCCATCTGCACCAACCGATTTGTTTTTATCAGGGTGTAGCATGAGAGCCAGCTTTCTGTATTGTTTCCTGATTGTCTCATCATCATCACACGGGTTTACACCGAGTATCCCATACCAATCGACCTCACCATTTACCTTGTTCTCTGCAGATATATACACATCAAGAATGGTGGACATCTGAGAGATGCCATCAAGATCAGGACACAGGGTTTGGGCCTTTACTGCATATTTCTTTGAAGCAGCAAAATCTTTATCAGACAATTTCTTCTCGGCGAGTCTTTTTGCCCTAATGGCCTCATCCCTCTTGCGTTCCATGGCCGACCCTCAATGTTACTTTCACCTGTCTTTCTCTCCTCAGGAAAGGGCTACAACACAACAACTACTAATGGCTGAGACTTGATGTCTTTCCTTTGGTATACAGGTGGTTGTCACAACCAGTCAACATACCTGCTGAAGAGCTAAATTAGGGAAAGTGATTTTTGTGTGTATGGAAATTGGAAATGAATGATGAAAAATGAAACAGACTAATCTCCTCATTAGATTTAGCAATGAAGACTAGATGTATCATATTCATGTGATGGTGGAGCTAGAGCAATATTATTAAGTGGAGCCATCATGTTATCATGGAATATGCTATCATATTCATACATGCATTTATTGTATAGGACACATTCTAATGTCAATATTATCTCCTATATTAGGTATGGAAGTAGCTAGTACCTGAAAAATCAAGATTCAGGTACTACCACAAGCAATTGTAGTATAACAAATCTATGAAATATCTACACTAAGTGACACTTATTGTAATCATTGAGAGAAAGGGTGACACCATTACTAGATGACTACATGCAAGGTAATGTTACCCCAAGAAATGACTTAAACAATGCACTATCCCTATGTTGTTTGATATATCTACATTTGTGTGAATGCACAAACAATTAGAATATATACTTCAAAAAATGATGATATAATAGCACATGCTACATCTGGTTCTAAGATATGCTTTTGTCATGTGGCTGTATATAGATTTGGTAAATGGCATATTCAATTAGGAGTGAAAATGATAACAAGCTTGCCAACTGACAACCACTATTCTATATGATCTTCCGTCTCATTTTATTAAACCGTTTAATTGTCACTATTATTATGCATTCGCATTTTGCAGACACAAACACCATAAAGCTAATGATTCAACATTTCTCTTTTCACAATTCAGCTCGAACTCTCGATTAAAGTAAATAACAAAAGTT